TCTCTGTAACCGGTGCCTTTAGTGTCCCAGAGGTTTAACCCAAAGATTAAAAAACTAAAGTTACCAATAAAATGAGTTTTAACCAAGAAACAGAAAGAAACATGTGTATTTGCATAGAACACAAGAAAATATTTGAAAAAAATACATCATTCACATTTTTATGGGTCGCTGAGTATCCGATGGCAGAGGAAAATGCATGTCCCCAGAGACCAAAGTTACTTTTTCATTCAATCTAAAACATATATGAATTGCCATTAACCCCATTTTTTCTGCTAATATAATCATTTACCTGTCTGCTCTAACTAAAATAAAAGAAAACTGAAAAGAATTCATGTTTTTTTTATGAAATGGTACTTTGTAATCATGTCCCCCAAGTTTGTTCAACCCTGTAACAGCGTAGCATTTTCCACCCTTTTTGAAAATAATTGTTCAGTCCAACCCACTCAACCTTCACAAAGTTACTTACTCAAGTCTTTTCAAGGTCATGCTGTGAAGAGAGGTAATTATTAGCATTAACCGTATTTCATTTTTGTTGCTGTGAGATTGACATCATCATGCTCAACCTTTCAACTCTCTTACAGAGATAAACGATATTTAGATATTGTTTAGGAAGAATCAAACAACTGAGTGGAAAAGTAAGTCAATTTCAGGATTTCCAAATGCCATGTGGTACTAACATGTTTGCTAACATGGGAGATATGGCTACTTTTAGCTAGAATCTTCAACCCCTTAACAATCAACCTCGTAACAAAATGCATGGCTAATTCCTAGTAATATTTGGTATTCCATGTCTAAGGTGGGAAACAGTATTTTACCAGAGGTTCAAATACTCCTTTGTCAGATGCAATGTTCAGAAATGCAATAATTTTTGCTCATTTTTCAAAATTCTAAGGACCCAAAAGGCACCCGTTACAGAGAATCACCCAGGTACCCCTAGCTTTTACCCACCAGAATCACTTAAACCCATTCCCGCCTGTCGAAGTTACGCACTGACCTGAAATAGTTTTACTCAAAATAAATAACCAAAAACAAAGCCTATACAAACACTCACATAAATCATTACTTTTCACACGAGCCAGAAGCTGTACTAACATGGCGTTCTTTGATACTGAACCACTCCTGGCACTTTGTCACATGCAGCGAGCGACAAAGCGGCTCACCTGCTCCCGTCTCCGTGAGCAGACATTGGGTCGTTTAAGATGAGAGCGGCCGTGACAAAGACTTCAAATTCACTCGTCTGCTCTGCACCGCTCATGAATTTTGATACAAGCCGCTCGCTCCTGCCGCTTCCACTGGGCTTAATGAAGAAGAGCCCACAGTCAGATGCTTGAGTGGAGGAGAAAAAAAAAAAGAGTATAGTTCATGTTTGAGCACTCCTTCTGCACACTGGGGCCGTTATGTAAGCCTTGTATCCAGGCAAAAAGGAGGTTCTGCTAATGATGACAATGGGGAAAAGAAATTCGGGTTTGCCTTTCCATTTTCACTTGGGACGACTGCTCCTATTGGCCGGTATGATTTGTTGTCATCGTATCCAGTCCAGTGGTCGGCTTGTGAATTTTTGACTTGTGACTGATGGTCTGTAATCTGAAATCTGAAGATTAGGGAGGATTATGGGTATGTAGTACACACAGAGGCACGGTGAATCAGGGCATACGGGGCTCAGGCTCGACAGCTCACTTAAGTCGTACTGATACAGCCCACAGAGCGGTTTGTCTTGGCCGTCCAGAATATTGCCCAGGCAGTGATAAGAAGTGCGTTGTGTAACATTTGTGCTATTGTCTATGTTTATCAAGCCAGTTAACTTATCAACGCAGATCTGTAGGGTCTGGATTATCTGCACAACATGCATTCATTTGAAATGTATAAGGTTATTTTTATGTTTATGTTCAGCCTTCCACTTGGTGTTTCAGCATGTGGCAAGTTTGGACTCTTCTGACTCTCCTGAATGTTAAAAGTGACCTATAGTGTGCAACTTTGACTAATTAAAGAAGCAGTACGTAAAAATCTGGCCAAAAGTGGTACTGCATTCTCCCTGACTCAGGTTGCCAGATATGCAGACGAATCCAGCGTGGAGCATAAAAATTGAATAGAACACCTTTTTCACAAAGATAGAAATCCTGGTTTTATTATTTGTTTTGTCATTAATGATTGGAGACGACAGTAGCTCAGTTGGTAGAGCATTGGCCTTTGAGCCTGAAGGTCGTGTGTTCGAGCCCACCATGAGACCTACTTCACGACTCTCATTGATGACTGCTGTAGTTGTGTCCTTGGGCAAGACACTTAACCCCACTTTGCCTGAAGCCCCGCTGAAAGATCTCAGCTCCTGTGGACTCACCACCTGCAGGAGGATCAGTGAGGGGCTGGTGCTCTGTGGACTGGGTGCAGCTCTGACTGCCACCCCCCGACCCAGAAATGGATTAAGGGGAAGAAGATGGATGGATGGATTGGAGAATCATAACGACACCTTTTTTTTTAGTTCTGTGGCCACATGTTACTTTACCAGTGAGATTAGCTAGACACGATGAGTTCTGGCAACCCGGATCACAGACTTTCTGATTGGTAAAATGGTGGACATCGAAATGAAAACAATATTATTGATTTAGGGGCTGTAAAACTAATTTTGAAATCCGAATATCTCGGCTGAACTACTGTTATCAGTTAAAGAAATATTCGAAAAGAGCCTGGTTTATTAATGCCTTTTGACAGATCAGGGCCATTTAATGATGACTTGACATACAAATTTTATATATTGCTACTTTAATAACGTTTTTAATCATTATGCAATTCTCATTCAATCACTCAAAGTTGTTTTAGAGTGATTAGAGTATTGATTTTGAAAAAAGATGCTACTGCTCTGTCTGATCACTGACACTGATATGAGGCTCCATACACCGATGTATACATATCCTTTATACACTGATTGAATTTAAATCTGCTGCTTGCAAAAGAGTAAAGAATCACAGTTTAACGGTCTTCAGGCGTCCTGCTGAGGTGGCTGTAAACACTGACGAGTAGCACATTTCCATTCCCTTTTGAAGCGGCATAATGCAACGTTTTATGTGAGGAAAAAAGTAAATATTTGTGCATGTTTGACCCAGTGGGTGTGAGAGTGGTCAGCATGGCGTCTTTACTTTCCAGCGGTCTCGAAGATGCCACAAGATCAATTGCTTGGAATGTTTTCTTTGCTGACAGACAAGAAAACATACACAACAACCGTGATCAAAAGCGAATGCACCATGTTGTACACTTTAACAGCCACTGGTTCACTACAAAGTCATATATGCAAAAATAGAAACAATTGTCACATAAAAAGTTAGCATAGCATATTATATTCTTAATGAATGAATATTTTCAGTAGCTCTGTCTCAGCTGTGCTAAATTCAAGCCGTTCCAATGTTGACCTCTGCTTTATCAGAATCAGAATCAGACACTGTTTCTGGATTATAACCACGGATCTTTTTTTGTACTTTAATAATAATGCATTGGTTTTAGATAGCTCTTTATTGGTCACTGTCATTATTTTTTCACTCTGTTCACGTTGGTGATTAAAACTCCTGCTGTAGCCACAATCGCCCTGGAGCACACTGTTTGCAGCACAGTGATTCAGATTTCAGATTCAGTTTATTTGCCATTTGCAGTAAAAAAAACCACGTTGGAATACATTAGCAAAAAGTCTCCAGTGTGCACAGACAAATACAGACATAAAACAACATTAAAAGACAAACATAAAACAAATAAAACAGTGGTGAAGTGGTTAGCGCTTGTGTCTCTTAGCAAGAAGTTCCTGGGTTCGATTCTACCTCCAGATCTTTCTGTGTGGAGTTTGCATGTTCTCCCTGTGTCAGCGTAGGTTTCCTCTAGGTGCGCTGGTTTCCCCTACCACTAAAAACATGTAAAATAGCCCTGGCATGTGCCTCCTGTATGGGCACCCTGCTCCCATCTCTGTGTGGAGTGAGAGACAAAGGCCCCAAAAAACAATAGTAAAGTGTTTTGTGACTCTGGTCTGTGTAAGGTACTATACAAAAAAGAAGACCACTTACTAACATAGAGAAGCGTGGCAACCATTATGTGCTGTCAGCCCTTTCCGGTCATCACCAACCATTCACACACACACACCAGACTAATTCAAGGCAATGTGGGTGCAGTGTCTTGCCTATGGACACAACAACAACTTGGCACTTTACAGCCGCAGCCGCCCCACTGTGGCACCTGGTGTTCCCAGACGTCTCCCATTACAGTTTTTCACCAGGTCCAGCCCCGCTTAGCTTCAGCGGTCTGACAAGCCTCTAGATTTCACATGCAGGTGGCGCCACTGTTATGATCTTCTCGTTGTTACTTTTTGATGACGACCGTGTCCTGGCAAACACAGAGGAGCGTGAAAGAGCCGCTGTGCGCTGGGACCGCGGGTTACTTCCAGTCGGTGCGTGTGGCATTTCTGTGCGAGGAGCGGAGCAGCCACGACGACAGGCTCCTGCTGCACCGACATGGATTATAGATCAACCGCCCCACATCCACTTCACTGCCTCACGACACACAACTCAAAGGGAATGGGGAAAAGAACAAAGCTATACACTCCAGTGCGCCAGTTTAAAGGGAATATCATGTAACGGAAAAGCTGGGGTTTAGTCTTCCTACTGTACATTTGTGGAGGTTGTCAAGTTTCAAAAAGAAGGACACAAAATTCAATACTGCAAAAAATAGTAGAATTCAATAAACAAGAATCCAAAAACAAAACTCAACTGAATGTAAAACACAGGAAGAGAGGACGAAGACAAGAACCACAGAACAAACACTGAACGGACTGACAACAAGAGGGAAAGAGAACAAGGAATTTATCTGGATCAAGAGAACAGGAGGTAAAACTCAAAAAGACACAGGAGAACAGACAATGCAAAATAAAACAGGAACTAAAACTGACAACCATGACAGAGGTTATTGAAAAAAAATTGTTTAAATTGCAAAACAGTTTCTGAAAATGTTTTGTGTGTGCTTTTTTTCAGAGAAAAGCACCCGGGGCGATGACTGGAATCAGCCAACCCTCTGCTGGACAAGGTATACTGTTTATTATGGCCGATGATACAAACCATGGACTAGACTGTTAAAGGAATATTCAACTATAAAGGAATATTGTAGGAATAATTAAGCGTATCTGGCAGTTATGGTAAAGGAGAGTAATGCCAAGAAGCACATGGTACTACCTGTGGAAGAATAACTAAAGTGAAAGAAGTAAGAAGCAAGTATTTCACTTGATTTGAGCATCATGCGTGTAGACCTATTGCATGATGGGAGAGGGCTGGGGAAGTAAGAGGGCTGTTTCAACTCTTTAATGGTTTCCTCAACCATTTGGTGGATCATTTGAGTCACTTTATCTACTTGAAGCTTGGAACTGAACATTGTATGTCTCACAGTGGGGAAATGTAAATGTTGCAACACACATACAGGACAGTAGTAAGAGCACACAAATATTCAATAGAAGTCGCTGCTATGTTTCTAGCTGTAAATGCTGCAGTATCCATCTATACACTGTGTCTATAGTGTACATTTATCTACATATAGGGCAGGGTAATAAGTAGATAAATTGACATTGAGTGGACATTCTGAAGTTGCAGTATTGCACATTACACATGATTACAGTATTGACTATTTGAAGATGAATAACATGCACTGGTCCAGTAGTTCTCATTGTACAGTCTGACAGTAGCAGGAAGGAAAGACCTGCGGAACCTCTCCTTCACACAGCGAGGGTGGATAAGTCTGTCACTGAAACTCATTTAGCGTCAGAGTGGTTAACACAGTTTACTCTGTACCAAATAGGGGCAAAAGCAAAAAGTCTAAAGAACCCAAGACGAAGCCCCGCGCTGGTGAGACGGTGGTGAGCAGCGCAGACATGTCGTGTTTGGCCTGCAGAGATAACAGATGCTTGAAAAACTCTCAACATGAATATTCATACAGCACGTGGCTCCTGTTTCCATCCACGCAACAGATACATCTTTAAAGCACTTTATTATTTTTATTTTTTTTACAGTCTACACAATTTATAGACGAGGGTTCATGGCGGCCGCCTCTCTGATACATGACAGAGTAGAATGGTAAATGTGGTCTGTTGAAGTGACCCTATACTCACACATACGCACGCAGAACCTGAGTCTGGCTTCTCTCTAATGCAGTGTTTCCCAACCGGGGGTACACGGGCCGCTATGGGTACAACATGGTGAGACACAGAGCCGCGTGGCACGAGTTCTGGTGTGCGCTGGGGTAGTCTTGCACCAGTATTCTAATGTGGTTTTACTGAAACAGAAAAAGAAACTGAATCTAATCTGAATTATTTTTATTGATTTATTTTTTATTTGTTTTTGACATCGCACAATAATTGTTCAGACCGGTGCGCAAAGAATTAATAAATAGAATGAATCTGAAGGGGGACTTGTTATTGAACTTGATATTCACTTGCAAATATTGATTGTAAGAGGTTTATTCAGACTTATCATGACATGTTGTACCTCCTTTTAAAGATAGATTTAAAAAAAAAAAACAACTATGTCATTTCTTTAATTATAAACATTTACCTGAACCTGTAATGTAATGAATGATAATAACAACATGGCGTATTGATTATCAACAGTGAGAAAACTTGCTCTTGCCATCACCTGTTTGTTCGTATAGTGCAAATAAATGGAAATGTTTTGCCCCTTTTTAATTCACTTTGCGTGTTAAAATCATAACAATTACAGGGTGCAAATGTATTATTCACTTTGTAGCCAATAAAGGATAAATATTAATAATTTAATTTAATTCAATAAATTTTTTGTAGAGCCCTTAATCACAACAGCAGTCGTCTTGGAGGACTTTACAAAGTTGTCGATTCATCAACAACAGACCAAACCGTTGGAACACAGTAAATGCAGTAATAACGAACACATAGGAGCCATTGGACCAATAAGGGGTGGATGACCAATGTCCATAAATGTTATTAAATGTCCATAAATGTTCATAAATATCCTTAAATGTCCTGGATCATCACTGTCCAAAGTCTCTTGTGTGTAACTCTCTATTTGAAATCATTACCAATCCGTGCCTTATTGTGCCATACACATAAACAACATCGTGTAATCGTAATAAGTTGCAATTTGCCGAAAAAAATCTCACAGGAAGCCATTTGATCATGACCTTTCTCAAGCCTCTTATGGAAATAATCTCATCACACATCGCAGCACTATGCAATCCATTCAGCACATTAGTGAAAGAGTGTGCTGTCACGATAGATGCTACAGCCCTGTAACGTCATCTCCCCTTCATTGTGCGTCCTGTCACTTTAAGGGCGTCAAGCTCAACAAAAGATGGCCCCGAAATGTAAGTATGGAACAACCACTTCTCCCCCCAAAGTTCACACCAGCACTGGGCACTCAGGGAGAACTCCGGCATGAACTGAGAGACAGAGAGAGAGGAAAAATCCACTGACCTTTCCCGTTCACTGACCTGATGTATTGTGACATTTCTCTTTGTTGTAAAAGCTCCATCCGTGGCCAATAAAGCTGAACATTCATTTGAGTTATTCTCCTGCACGAGCACTTGCCTCCGAAGCCTCTCGCTGTAGACTTGAAGTGGATGCATTGTACGTTTGCTGTTTTCTTGTTTTGAACTCTCCAAAGGGATGTGCGAGTGATCCGTTATGATCAGGGAATGAAATGTACTGCAATTATTAAAAACTCATGTATGAAAATCGCTGTCATGGGGCATCTGGGTAGACACAAAAATGCCAAGAAAATGTATTTTATTATTGTTGTTATAGACTCTTCAATTCCGAACACATGGGAATATCAGTGGTCGGAGTAAATTTATGGAATCAACTTGAATATGAAATGAGAAATTCCGCAAACATCCACATGTTTAAGAAAAATATCAAAGCAACAACAGTGAAATCATATGAAATGAATGATTAGAAAAAAGTGAGAAAATAACTATATGATAAAAAAAACAAAGAATTTTGAAAACAATAAAAAAAACATAAAATAAAAACAGTTTGACTTATGGTGCATTCAGACCGCAAATGCTCAAACGCTGAAGCCCCGCTCACCAGACGCGCATTCTCTAGTTTTCAGACACAGAGGTCTTCACACCAGAACGTCCTGGCCAGCGCCGGAAGTTGCCGGCCGGCTCTGATGCTAACAGAGCTATGCTAGCGGCTTCTTGTGTACAGATCTTCTCCAATATGCAGCTTTGCAGCGTGTCTTTGTTCAGAGACCTTCCACGGGGTTTATATAACAGTAGTATGTGTTCACGGAGGTGCACCATACGTTTTTTGAATTAATAAACGGTATTTCCGCATCGGTGAACACACTCAAAGCAGTTGCATAAAGTCACGGGAGCATGACAACGCATATTTTCACAAGCACAGAGTCCCCCATTGTCAACCCTGGTTTGAGTTCTGGTGAAGCCTGGTGTGGGTCCTGTTTTGGCTGTTTACAGTATGTTCAGTCTGCTCGCTCAGTCCGCTAATGTCCCCGTGACCACTTTGCTGCTCTCTGATTGGTCGCTGCACGAACGTCGCAAGGAAAGGATGAGCAGAATCCATCTCCTGTGGGCGTCCATTTTCCGCTCCTACTCCTCCCCTTTGACTTTCCAAGTCAAGTGTCCGTGCGTGTCTACTGAGCAGTTCGTCCGTGCGTGCCGAGAGGTCCGTGCGTTTTGACGCTCCAACGCGTGTCACCATTGACTTTGCATTGAAAGCAAAGCATGTTTGAAGAAAGGGGCCGGCAACATAAGATTCTTTTTTCTTTCTGCTCCTTTTCATTTGTGTGACAAGACGACAATTATTATGTAATGGTAATATGTGATGTATTGTTATGTCCACAAGTGAAATGAATAAATAAATAAATACATTAAATTAAATTACATTAAATTATGTTGTTGAATGTCAAGTGTCTTGGGTCATCACCACCGAAACTAGACTAGAAAACAGCAGAAGGACAATTAATATGGTGTAAAGTGCATTTAAAAATAGTAATTCCTTCATGTAAGCCCTTTCAGACCAGGAAGTGAGAGCGCCCCACTGTGGCTCCTGGGACCCTCAGAGACAGCACTAACGAGACCTCGCACTGAGCTCTGCAGACCAGGCTCTGACAGGCACATCAATAGTTCACAAGCTTCTCCTTCATTTTTTTATGTTTAAAGTTTTGGGGTCCACTTTTAACTTGGGTCCATGGAGTGATCCTCAGAAAGATCTAGAGAAAGAAGTGATGTCACACGTCTTGTCACTGGCCAGATCTGCCGAGACCATAATGTACTGTACTGTAATCATCATAGAGTACAATATGTCTCCGTGAATGCATCTCCATGACAACAAGAGGGTAGCGGACCACGTCTGAACAATTGCACAATGCACTTTTGATTGAATATATAAATAAATATATACATGTAAAATATTGAAATTTAAACTCACTCTCCGATAAAAAGAGTATTATAGATGTATTCATATAAAATACTGTTCACAGATAAAATGCTATGATGCTCCATTCCACCTTAAGGAGGAGAACATGCTGATGTGGAGAGCCTGGTCTGGATAATAATAATAATAATAATAATGATAATGATAATGATAATGATAATAATAATGAGAGAACCTTTATTTGTCCCAGAGTAGGGAAAATTCAATGTTGCAGCGCACTTACAGGACAGTTGTGTGTGCGCTCACTGAAACAGGTTCAAGCAGATTTGTAAACATTATTTGCCAGAAATGAGTCTATATACATAATAATGATAATAAAACACCTTTTATTTCTTAGGCGCCTTTCTAGATATTCAAAGTTGCCCAAACCAAGCCCAAACCAAAGTAAACAGCTCCAGTCACATGTCGTGGCTCCATCGTGAGCTTCACTGTCTCTGATTTAATGTCAGGCTCTGGATGTGACATTTACTGCAACATCAATGATTCCATAGCACAGCGGTAACAGCAGCAGCAACAGTAGCAACAGCAGCAGCAGCAGCAGCAGCAGCAGCATCAGTAGCATTAGTAGGAGGCCTGTGTCCTCTGAGCAGCTCGGCTTGAACATTAAACACTTAATTCAATCACTCTTAAAAAGGTTCTGCTCTTTTACAGTTCAGCAACAAATGAACTGAAAAAACTTAAACAATTTAAACTTTACGGAATATATTTTTTTTTATTTTCTGGTCAAGTTTAATGTAATTTGCTTTAATGTAATGTAGATAGATAGAAAGATAGAGATATATCGATTTATTATATGACTTGGACCGTACGCGCGCTCTGATTGAATTAAGTGTTTCTGACTTCTGACGGGCGGCACGGTGGCTGAGTGGATAGCACTCTCGCCTCTCAGCAAGAAGGTCCTGGGTTCGAATCCCGGTTGGACCAGGGCCTTTCTGAGTGGAGTTTGCATGTTCTCCCCGTGTCTGCGTAGGTTTCCTCCGGGTGCTCCGGTTTCCCCTACCACTAAAAATATGTACAATAGGTATGGCATGTGCCTCCTGTACTGGCGACCCCCACCCAACAATTGTAAACCGCTTTGAGACTCCGATGTGCAGTGAAAAGGCGGTATATAAATAAAAGCTTACTTACTTACTTACTGATTGGCTGATTACCGGTCTGATATTTTCCCATCTCGGACCGTTACCATGACAATTGGTCCGAACAGCGCGTATCGGCTCGGTCTGTACATTAAGGCAGCGGTCTGATATTTCTCCATACAGACCTCGCGCTCGGTTAATAAGCCGTTAATATTGATATTGGAGGATTTACAGCCAGCTTAGAAACAACTCATCTGCTTATTGTATATTTTGTGTTCTCTGAGCTCTTACTGTCTGTGCGCTGCAACACTGACATTTCCCCACGAATAAAGGTTCTCTTATCTTATCTTAATTTATTTTGGAATAACTATTCAGCCTGTGTTTTCTCATTACCTTCTAATCTCACCACAGGTCAGATACTTGACTGTTCTGCCACTTCCTGCAGAGTTAAGACATTATTATTAGGATGATATTAATTAAGACAATCAGGGACAAGAAATAAATCACACTTTTCAAGCAAGTTTCACATAAACAACATAAAACAACCTAATATGACTTTAAAGTAGGACTACATTTTCAAAATATGACTGTAATGTCATCAAGTATGGGAGATCCTGAGGGAAACTTAACGTCATTATCTTTGTGAGTCGATTGAAAGTAATCAAAACCCTTTTTACATAAGAGAACTTTTTGAGGGGATATATGTTCTGGTACATTAGTGGGTCTCGACTGTGGTTTGAAATGTCGTGATCCAAGTAAGACAGTTAGTTTATAGATGTGGAAACATTCTGTATACTTTACAAAAGTATTGTTTTATAAGCTTTGAATAATAATTAGTAAAACAAAATTACAGAACAGACTGGAATGATGAAAAGTTAAACTTGTCCTGCCATAGACACAGAGTCCTGATATGACTTTCATTTATCAAGGTCCTTTAAAAAAAGAGGACAGTTTTATTTATTCCGCCACCATCTTTTTGCATTAGTAGTAGATATTGCACAGATGTGTAAAATGTCGTCCTGGATAGGCTAAATTAAATTATCCTGCGACCCACCTGTTGAGAACCACAGCTGCCGTGATACAAGCTTTAGATGATCAAGAACCAGTCTGCTCCCTTCACTTAAACATGTATTTTAATTTATGTTCACTTAAACATACCTGTTTTATTTCAGTCAGGACTGGGCATGCAGCGCACTTATTTTGGGGGCGGCACGGTGGCTGAGTGGATAGCACTCTCGCCTCTCAGCAAGAAGGTCCTGGGTTCGAATCCCGGTCGGGCCAGGGCCTTTCTGAGTGGAGTTTGCATGTTCTCCCCGTGTCTGCGTAGGTTTCCTCCGGGTACTCCGGTTTCCCCTACCACTAAAAATATGTACAATAGGTCTGGCATGCGCCTCCTGTACTGGCGACCCCGCTCCCATCTCTGTGTGGAGTGAGAGACAAATGCCCATAATTAACAATTGTAAACCGCTTTGAGACTCAGATCTGCAGTGAAAAGGCGGTATATAAATAAAAACTTACTTACTTACTTCCCTGATGCATGCACTCTCTCACATTCCCTTAAATAATGAAATGTTTTATAGTTGTATTAAACCTACAAACATGTGCATACATCACAACCATCATCATTATTATTGCCATCCTATAATTATCTATCGTTTATTGTATGTATCGTATTGATCACAGTTAAAGATGGAGGGAAACCACAATGTGAAATGATGAAAACAACCAAAACAAAACAAGTTTCAACCTCTCATGTCTCTTCGTGTCATTTGTCCAGACGATAAGAAGAACAACCAGCCGGAGGACTTCGACATCGACATGGAGGACCCCGAGACCGCCAAGGCAGCTGTGGCCATCCAGTCCCAGTTCAGGAAGTACCAGAAAAAGAAGCAAGATGTGAAGTGATGGAGGAAGCGGGCCATTTCTTGCATGTCGAATACACAGCACTGTCAGGAACTCAGAGGGCAGGGGAGAGGGTGGGGGTGAGGGGTGAGGGGTGGGGGTGTGGGGGCTAGCAGTAAAGTGTGTCTGTGTGTTGTAACTAAATATGAGTAATCAGTGTTTACATGATTGGATTAGTCAGTCAGTTTCTCACTTTTTATATGCATTTTTCTGCACCGTTTTGTTTGGTTTTTGTGCGTTTAACCTAAAATTAAACACTGCAACGTGTAGTCAAAGAGGAATATAAAGCCACACGATGTCAGCGTGGGTGAGATTTGTACCGAGCAAAATTAATAATGAAGGGATTTTGTCAGTTTTGGCTTTGTTCTTCAGTGACTTGTTCTTGACATTGTTTACTTCATTACAAGTGCTGGTGGTTTGCTTCGTCTCATTTGTCAGAGTTTTGATGTTATTTCCTCTATTGTCATGGTAAATCGTACGAGCACACGTGAATGCATGCCGGCTTTAGACACACATGGTTTACATACAAGGAATCAATAAATAGTGAAATGTGGAAATGTGTGACTCTTTTCTTTTGTTGAACTAAATGTGATTTCTGCAACTTCAATTGAATTTTATGAATGCATATTGTTGATTATATGACCCTGTAGTAGCGTCTAAATTAAGTATTTTCATTTAAAAGAGTCTCTCCCCTTGGCATAACCACCACCAATAGTATTTTCTGGAGGAGAATAGTTAGACCAATGGTGAGGAGCCTCTCTGTGTCTAACAAGGATTTGAATTATAAAGTTGTTAGACACAGAGACGGGTCTAACTGAAGCTTGCATTCACAAAATGTCTCCATCTTCACAAAAGTAACTGACTCTGTTTAAAGGATTTGCTATTTATGAATGTATTTATGAATTTAGATTGTCAGATAATTATAGGATAAGTTTGAGATAATAACACCATGTTCCCTCTCATAAGTGCACACACATATATTAATGGTTGAATCGAATGCACAAAAAAGCTTTTTAACAAAAAGCCTTGACTTAAAGCTGGGAAATCTAATTTTGTCGTCATAAATATCTACACATTTTAACCCGGGCATGTCCAAACTCAGGCCTGAGAGCCAATTACGACCATCTGTGGTGTTTAATGTGGCCCTTTGTTGCTAACACAAAGTGACCATTGAGGCACTTTGACAGTGTCATCCAACCAACTTCAGCTCCACCAATACAGTCCTATACCTTATACTGACATTTTTTTATGATTGTGGCACAACTTTCCACATAATGCAGCTGTGGTGTGAATCAATAAGGACGTATCTAACCCGTTTAAATCCAGGTTGTCGGCCCGAGGTCAAGTCTGATGACTAAAGTGGGTGTCTTACTAAAAAGTAAAATGTTGGATGTGAACAAAACAGGCCACTACAAGAGCCTAGTGAGTTACTTTTTTTTTTACGCTTTGAGCTGAAAGCTGATTGGTTGAGTGAGGCTGGTTCTCTTTTTTCAGTTTTTCTGTCTGAAAAAGCTGTGACAGTGGCCAAAAAATGCATGTGTGTAAAAACTAGTGATTGAACCAAACTGTTTTCAGAGCTGCAAAACTGTAGTTGTATAGATTTTATAGTTCCATTTGTTGTGCTTTTGTCACCGTAACTAAAAAAGATGAACATGGGGGTTTCTTCTTTTGTGTTTTTGTGTCATAGTGAATTTAACTTTTCAAATGAGTAAGTTACTGTCGCCCAGACCTGGCCCTATACATACAGTATGTTGCCAGACTGCAGCTGCAAGAGCCTTGAAAATAGTTTATTACAGAACATTTTTCAGATTCATTTCCCTCACGACAGCCTGTGACAGCTTCATATTTCTCTGACTGATCACAGTGAAGAAGTCGGTCCAGCTCTCAGCCACTTATTTATGATGGAGGTTTTTATTAACCAGACTCAGTTTCTGCTCCTTCAGTGCGGCTGTAGTGAGACTCTCATCTTAGACTTCTGTTTGTTTACTCACAATACAGGCTAGATGTTTGAGTTCAAGATATAGAAATTATACTGGATAGTGCAGTTCTAGCACTAATGCTTCTGAAGTCTGGAAAACAGAACAGATGCTTATAAACGTGATTACGATCTCACAGGTGTGCACAGCCCCATTTTAGATCCATTACATGTGATTGCATCTGTCATATGTTCTGCTGCTGGTCAAATCTGCCTGGTGACTGCATCATGTCCCCATCAGGCAGGTGCGGTGAAACACTGCCCTCTGGTGGTGAAGGGGCTGCAGTGAGCAGCACAAGAGCAGAGGAAACCTGTTGAGCAACAAACATCTAAACACAACAGTCATTTCAAACCTGCGCAAGACACTTTGGGGAACAGCCATTTTATTAATCAAATTTGAACTTTGTGTTAGTTTCTCTTTATTCCAGTGCCACCATGGTGAACACTAATGTTAAAAATAAAATGTGACATTATTCTTTTGTTAAAATGTATCATAATGAAGACAGTTAATCAAAGAACTAACCAAATAAACTGACAAAATGACCTCACAGCATTTTGGATCACACTCCCTTCGGTGGACCCAAATCAACAGAAAAAACAGAAGTCGGCTGGGGTAGACAGAACAAAACATCTCTTTACGTATATCCACATTTTTAGATATTTTCCATAGACATTAGGTTTGGTTTGAAGGGGAATTCTGTTGGATTGTCTCATATTTTTATCCCTGTAGAGGAGTATTACTGCAATGCAGCAACAGTAGATCTACTGAGGAGTGAGAGCCAGAGGCTCTGCCTAGTGCACTGAGAGGGGACTGTTGTTGGGATGTTGTGAAGTGCAAACCATTACTGTCTAAACCTCCCTGTTCTAGCTAACAACATTTACCACTGGCACACTGCAGCAGTAAATACCCCTGAATGTAGGATACTCACAACATATGCAATCTTCATTACAGTACAGTATAGTTTCATAGACTTTTTCATAGCTTTTTTCATATTGCACCATCAGAGAATGGGACACAGAAATATCAACAGAGACTCCATTTCCTAATTAAAACAAGATATGTGCAAACATGACTAAGGACTTTATTAACCAAATCAATTTCTCCCTGTAATATCCACAAATAAAAGTGATTTCTCTTTTTATATATATATTTATAGTAATAAGAATAATAAATCTTCACATTGGATCATTTCATAGTGTGACAAAATGCTCGGCTGGTCTGCCCAGCCGCGGTCGTTATCCTCATTGTCTTTTTAGTTGGTCAGTCCCCATGCATCCATAGGAAATAGATTTTTTTTTCTTCAAAAAAGTAACAAGTTGAGAGCAGCTGCAAAGTTTGGACTGGTGTCAATTGCTTTCGTTCCAAGATTTATCCCAAGTATTCCATAGGAAAAACATGACTCCAAATGGTCATCTTCTACTCCCGAAAAACAAAAACATGTCCGGGTTTGTATGAAAACATTGTAGCAGTGGAGAGCATTTGGTTATCAAGAATAATGATCAATAATTTGACAACTAACAATAATAATCACTGATTAATATAAAGAATGAACAAGAATAAATAATGCTCCCTCAGAACTCGATGAGTTTGGCAAAGCTCCGTTAGGAGTCGTCTCCAATGAGTGAATAAAACAAAATCAAAAACAGTATAAACAAACTGAAAGAGAGACAAAGAAAAGCTCTAAAATAAATAAAAAGATATTAGTAAAAGTGAGGCCTCCCAGCAGAGGGCGCCGTATATACAGAACTGTGGTGAGTCAGTTTCCTGCACTTGAGTGGTCAGTCCAGTGAGTCCGCCCCGGGGCCCCTGCTGTTATACCAGCGTGTAGGACTTTGCGTAGGGGTTGCTGTTCTGTTTGAGATGTCCTCTGGAGTCCAGCAGTGACTCCTGGGACGTGCTGAGCTTGGCGGCCTGAGCCAGCTCCGAGCCCTCTCTGTGGGGCAGTGTGGCGGCGGAGCCGGGCTGCCACTGGGCTGCAGCGTCCCTGCTGGCCTGAGGGGCCTCTGAGGGTGTGGGCGGGGCCATGCGGGACGGCCGCTTCAGGGAGCGGCTCTTCTGTGGCTCCAGACATGCCTGGCCCATCGCCGCGCGCTCTGTGCTGGACGTGGCTCTGGACGTACCCGAGCACGTCATGCCCCGATTCAACAGGAAGTCCATGCGCAGGTAAGGAGGCAGGTGAACCAGCTCGCCCCCTGCAGGACACAAACAATATTACAATCGGCCACAATGGAAAGGACCCTCCATAGCAGCGAGGGTGTCCAAGTCCTCAGCAGTAGGACTCAGCAGTAGGACTCAGCAGTAGGGTCAGAGAGTGTTTGGGCCTGTGTTTGTGTGCTTTATGCTGTGTTGTATGAGTTCGTAACCAAACAGATGTCTGCTTCATCCAACCCCTTTTCACACCTTTTTGTAAGTGAGTTTGAAAAAATATATTTATTTATTTGATATGGACACAACAGTTACATATGATGCACTGCCTTTTGTGTTATAGTGTTTATAGACTACTACTAGCATAATCTAACAGCACATTACTTTCTCATAAAAGTTGTGTAAAAGTGGTGACAATATTCAAAAACATGGATGACGCTGCATGATGTTGGAGAGTAGAAAGGAGTCAAATAATGATCTTGGAAAAGATTTGGATACATATTCTTTTTCAACATTTCCTTCAAAAATATTTCTCTTGAGTTTGTTTTGTTGAACCCTATTAAGCATTTCCCAGTAAAAATGTGTTTGGTATGTACACAAAATTAGTATTAGTCATTTCGAAGGCATGCAAAAAGATCACCATAAGACACCGTTTGTAAAGTTTAGCATTAGCAGTTTAGCACAGTGAGTGTTACGAAGCGGTGTTAGCATGTAGCAGCCCTCACCCGGTCTGTGGGCTTTGGGCACGGCCATGTTCATGACACGGCTCACGTCCTGGGGCTTGGGGGGCGAGGCGGTGAAGCGGCAGATGCCCGACTCGGAGGGCGTGCTGGACGTCAGACTGTCCGTGTAGTCGTTGGTGCCCGCGGTCATCTGCTCTGACGAGGTGTCGGAGATGAAGCACTCGGTGATGGTGAACTTGGCGTGCCGCAGCTGCTCCTCCATCTTGGCGTGCTCGTAGGCTCTGGCCAGCTCTTCGTACGTGGAGGACGCGCTCTCGGTGGACACCATGCTGCTCCTGGCGCGGTCTGGTTAGTCGATACAGGGGTTAGTGTGTTTGCGGTTAGGAAAATGGCTTGTTAGGACATGAACGTTAAAGGTGCTCTATGTAGTTTTGAGTGGGAGGATCTGAAATGTCATATTCTCCATGAAATTGCGTTTGTTTACGGCAATAACATCTCTTGATTGATATCACAGTGTCAATCGCTTTTAGCACTTTTAATTCCTGTACTTTTAACCTTGTTGTATGTATGTATGGACTTTTGCTAATGTATTCCAATGTGGTTTGACTGCATTTGCAAATATATGAATCTGAATCTGATCTTGAAGTCTCTTGAAGTCAATATTCATTTCATTTAATATTAATTTATATAAAACTGTGGAACACTGAAAGCCCCTTAAGAATATCTAAAATCAATCTGTTCTATGTCAATGTATGTTCATGACCCAAAATCCAAATTAAAGCTGGAGTACCTAACTTTTTTCCTTTAAATAGCTCTCTCCCAACAGAAGCAAGTACCACAACATGCTTTCCTCATCTAATTAATGAAAGAAAGAGCCCTGTTAGTCACTATTTGTCACTTTGGGCTGGGAGCTGATTGCCTGAGTGAAGGTGGTCCTCTCTCTTTCACTTCTCTGTCTGAAAAGGCTTATCTACACTGCAAAAAAGTATACAATAAATGCTTGAATCAAGTGTTTTTATTTTAATTTGAGTACATTTGGACTGTCTTAGAACAAGATTTGCAAATGGAACAAGCCGTTAAGTCGTAATCAAGTGCTGTTGCAATTTCTTTCTCATTCCAAGCGAGACATTTCTTGAACTTTTGTGCATCTTTTTAAAACAAGATATTTTTGCTTGTTCCATTGACAACTCTTGTCAAAATGTACTCAAATTTGGATAAAACACTTGATTCAAGCATTTTTTACCTCGTATTTATTGCAGTGTGAACATGTGACATAGGCCAAAAATACATGCGTGCGAAAACTATGTATAGAATAATCATTGTAGACAGAGATAAACTTTCTTGTTGTGGTTTGATAGTTAGACACCCCAGCTTTAAAGTAGGAAATGAATGTGACTTCCTGCTGTCATAATAAGCCTGTTTAATGGGCAGGTCTGTACCTGTGTCCTGAGATGGGCTGACGCTGTAGCTGTCGCTCTCTTTGTCCACAGAGCCGGCGACTCTGGGCGTGGGCAGTCTCCAGTCTGTGCTCAGGGTGTGGGAGGACACAGGAGGGTGCGGCCGGTTCAGGGTCCACTGGCTCGCGTAGCGGTTTCGAGCGGCGGGACCAGCTTTGGCCGTGCGGCGGGCAGTGGGGTCTGAGAGCAGAAGACAGAACTTTAAGTAAAACAATACACATAAATAATACACGAAGGTAAATAAGAAGGTAAATATGCAAATGAAAAACTCTAAAGTTGATGAATGCTGTCCGAAACAAAATGGCCATAGAAGACACACAAAACACAAACAAATGGCAACTTATAAAAATGCATTCAGCTCAAAATGAGGTAAAAAAGCGTCCGTACTGGACTTACTGGTTCCTGGCCTAGCGTCGGACACGTCGACCAGAGGACCTGTGGCCTGGGACAGAGACTGGTAGTGCACTGTGTGAGTGACTGTGGAGGACTTCTGCTTCTGGGTCTCCCCAAAGTCATTGTCAGTCAGTAACACGGTGGATCTGTCATCTGCGCACAAAGGAGAGGTTACATTTGAATTGTTTCACAAAGAAAATGAAGAGTACAGAAGGTAAAGTTGACCTACCGACAGTCTCCATGGTGTCCCTCTCCTCGATGAGGAGCTGGGCCCTGGGGATGTCGATGTGCATTCGGAGCGTCTGCTGCTGCTTGTTCACTGGCTCTGCTGGTCGTGTGTTTTTGCTGAAGATAAAAGTAGGTTAGAAAGGTTTGTATAATGTAACCGCTCCTACATCTGCATAAACAGCAGTCTGACATTTACCTCATCAGCATTTCGGCCAAGCTCTTTGCGTCTGAAACACAAGCTCAGAGTTAGTGCGATGTCACAAAGCAGTTGAAGACAGTTGTGATGTCACTCACCTCTCAGCCTCTTGAGCCTCTGCTCTCTCCTCCTCCTCCTCAGCACCAACAGCCCGATGAAGATCACCACGATGCCCACCAACACGCAGGAGATGGTCACCATCATCTTCATCCCTTCTCCACCTCCAGACTGGTCTGTACTAACGTTGGGAGCCTTCACCAGAGGGGCTATGGTACCTACAAGAACAAAAGCCAAGAGATTAGAAGTAGAAGTATACAATGATATGAAACATTAACATAGAGAACCAGGTCTGCTGTGGGTCTAGATCACTTCACAACCGCAGCTCAACAAACATGAAATCATGCAGCAGCTCTGGTCACGGTTTACATTGTGAGAAAAGCCCGTTCACAGAAATGTTCCAGGGACAGAGAGAGACGTGTTCCACTTACTGCCGTCGTAGCTGAGCGTGGCAAACTTGAGCCTCTTCTCTGCGTAGCCGGCGCTGTTGTACACCTTCATCTGCAGCTCGTACCACGTGGCCTCCTGCAGGTCGTACAGGATGTAGCTCTTGGTCAGGGAGGTGCGCTGGGCAGTGGTCCATGTGGGGGAGTCCATGGGCCGGTACTCCAGGGTGAAGGAGGTGATGGGACAGCCGCCATTATTCCAGCCATTCAGATTGAGTTTGACCCGAGTGGCATTGATGCTGGTGAAGAGCTCCTGTTCTTTAGAATACTGAGGCTCTGAAAGACACAGGGATCAAGGAGGGACGCCATGAGGGACTGAAGTTTGGCTACATAACAATAGTTTTATAAGAGCTGTTGATATTTAGTGGTTGAGTTGATTAATCAGTCCATAGTTCCTTAGTCAACCACACTTTGTATTAATCGACTAATTGTTTTATTTGAATTACGTACAAGAATTTCTATGCGTAAACTGCAAAAATTCAAATATATGGAGCAAAACGGCCAGAACAGATCAAACTCTCAGTTCACAGATTCAGTTTAGTTTAGACTCATAGCTTCTGGCAAAGATAAATAATTGTATGAACCATATGCTCTATCTTTAACTAATATTTTTCTAATATGTTTTTCCTCAAAAGCTGTTTTCCATGGTACAGTCTGAGTCATCTACATAATACTAAATAGAGCATTTGCCATGTGCCGTTTTTAGGCAACTAATCAATATATGTAGTTGACCATTTATCTCTATGGTCGGCTGCAATTTTTGTGGTCGTGTTCTGTGCGTACCTTTCCCATGGGTCTTTGCCTCTATGATCTCGCTGATGCGCCCAGGCCCCACTGCATTCTGGGCCGTGAGGGTGAACTTGTACCACGTGCCACATTTGAGGTTTTCCAGTCGATACAAGCGCTCACTGGGGCTGATGGCAAAGTTCCCCCACTGCTCGCTGTTGTCCTCAGAGTACTGCAGGATGTAGCCTGAACCCCACAGATACATTCATACATGAGTTAATACAGTACAAAACAAATACAAGACAGAGAAATATTCATAAGACATTTGTAAGACCTCGGATGGAGCTGCCTCCGTTGTCTCCGGGGATCCAGGACAGGGTTATTGATGTGGTGGTTGTCTTGGTGACGGTGAGTCTTGGCTGGTCTGGAGGAACTGTGAGGGAAAAGACATTTTTTGTTGTTGTAAATACAGTTTGAAGTTTAGGCAGAAATGTCATTGTTTTGGCCATATTTTAGAGATTAGGAATGGTAACACAAACACTGGAAGCCATATATTGTCAAATAAACATGTTTTCTATTCTCAAATAACAACATAGAGAGATATATGAATCAACAGGAACTGGAAGCTTTTTCCAAGAAGAACTATCAGCTTTACCAGAGAGATGAAATAACCTCATCCACAACTACGAGAAATTAAGATAAAGCAGAACTTCAGACTGGTAGACTACAGTATGCATGTCATCGCACCAGTCTAGCCCCTTCCTTCCTCTGCCTATCACATCAGCTTCGGCGATCATAATCTGCACTCGATCCTCGCAGAGCAAGGCCACAGCCGAGGCCTATGCTCCAAACTATTAAACTACAAACAAACTTGCAATAAATAAATCGTTTAATGCATCTTGTTTCCTGTAGTCTCTCCCGATTGAAGAGATTCCCAGCGGACTGTATATAAAGGGGCTACACTGTAATTTTTGCACACTTTTTATTGTGAATGATACAAACTTTATTTCACTTCTCAAATATCACTCCTGTATGATATATTTAACTGAAATGATTCATAAAGGATAATCACAGAAATGTGAAAGGTGCCCAAACTTTTGCATACCACTGTGCATGCTATTGAGAAGTGGGGGATGGAAACTTCCAATCAAGGTCAGACGAGTAGATTCTGTCATTATACTGTGTTTGCGTTATCATTTCCGAATATCTTACAAATGGCCAATCTCTCTGCCTCCGGGTGTACACTGTACTTTTTATGAGCAGATTTAAGTAAAAGTATCATACCCTGAACTTGCAAGTTGAGCACGATCTTGTCAGACCCAAAACTGTTGGTAGCGGTACAAGTGTAGTTCCCAGAATCCTCTGCTTTGATTGTGCGGATCACCAGGCTGCCGTTGCTGTGGACGCTGCGGCGACTGTCGACCGCCACAGGTGCTGGGGTGGCGTTGCTGTAAAAACGGGTAAATGTAAAACTATATATAAGTGTATAAGTGTATAACTATATATAAGGGTGTGACAGCTGATAAAGGTGAATTGAATCGGTGCACATACATTTCCTTAAGCCACTTGATTGTTGGTGAAGGATCTCCCACGGCTTTACAAGGCAACACAATGTCCCGCATCCAGGGCGTGGTCACGGTCCTGTTGAAGGTCAGGATTCGGGAAGGCGCTACAATTGCAGATAAAACGATGATTATTAACAATGATAATAATAAAACATGTCATGGTATTCTGCTTATTTTTCGAGCTGGGTTACCACAAAAACTGGATCTATGTCCTCAAATCAATCTAACTAGCGCCTTGCTCAGTTTGCTTCTATCATTTTCACATATTTTCGCCCTTTTCATACTTTTAGATCAGCCTCTTTTTGCAACCCTATGCAAAAGATAACATGAAGTTAGCATGTGGCCGTATGATTTTAATAATAATAACACATCGTGCTTATATAGCGCTTTTTGGACACTCAAATAAGAAACAAAAATAAAAAGCTAAAAAAAAAAACAGATACTGGGCAGTGTAGGCAGTTTTGAACAAGTGGGTTTTGAAGTGAGTTCTGAAGTGAGTTCCTGATGGGTTGTGGGAGAGAGTTCCAGAGAGTGGGGGCAGCTACAAAGAGGCTCAGTTTCCCAGGGTTCGGCACTTTATTCTGAGGGGAGTAAGGAGGCTGAAGTCTGAGGATCTGAGGCGGCGGGAGGGACAGGGGTGATAGAGGAGGTGAGATATGAAGGGGCGAGGTTATGGAGGGACTTGTAGGTGAGGAGAAGGACCTTGTATTGTATGCAGTATAGAACAACATTTAAGTTTTTACAAGGCTCTTTCAATTGGGATAAAACAGTAAAGCTTTAAATACACTGCGACTTTAAGACACTATGGGTTAAAATGTCACAATAAGCTTCCTTCGTATAGACTTGTTTTGTTTTGCATCCCAGCTGGGGGACATCCATCATACAGTGCCAGGGCAGGATGTGGCGGTGCTGATAGAAGGCCTGGGTCCTGACTCCAGACACCACAGGGTCTATCAGCATAAACCATCAGCTTATCAGTGCTCACAAGCGTGTAGAGATCTGACAGGGCCAAACGTTGCTGATTTACATTCTCTGTGAGCTCTGACGGCCGCCCCCTCAAAAGAAACACTGGGAGACATGCCTGGAACCTGCTACATCCTTTATGGGAGAGTTTGATCATGAGATTTTACACAGCAAGGTGCTAAAGACGTCATTTAGCACAGGTTTGATCACAGTTTGAGAAAAGTGAGGCTGTTTAATGCTGCGTGAAACATACATTTAATTCGACTTTGGATCACAAAGTAGTGATAAAAGCTGTACAAGCTTTTGAACCCAGGGCACTTTCTTTACAATTGTTAATTTAATTCAAAGTAACACTCAGTTTCAATTGTTAATTTAATTCAAAGGACAACACTCAGTTCCATTGTAAGGTTAATCTGTCCGTCTATACTTATTTAATTAAGTATGCAAATCGTAAGTATGGCAAAGAACTTTATAATTTAAGTAAAATAGTTATCTTCATAAATAACACATGTAGTTTGTTCCAACAGAAAGAGTATTATTAAGTAAAAGGTTTATTGGGGTGTACATTACTAGGTTGGTTTTTGGTTTTAAAGTTAGATACCTTTAAAACAATTAAAGACACATTAAAAATCTCAGCTGTCGCTAAAATAAAGATCACATACCCTCTGCCATCGGCTTGACAGTGATGATGTCACTGGCGTTTCCTCGTCCTGCCGCTGTGACGGCCACCACCCAGATGCTGTACTGACGGTTCCTGCTCAGGTTGGGGACTCTGTAGAAGAAAACATCTGGAGCGGCTTCAAACTCACTGCTCACCTGCAAACGAAGACAACAGAAGAATATGAATTCAATGCAGGCAAATGCACTCGTTCTTGGCACTAAGTAAATAGCAAAAACAATTTAGTTCCATTGTAACCAACACAACAAATGTTTTAAAGGGATTGAGCAGACGATGCGTTCCCAGTGATGGAGCGTGTGTACGTCCCTCTCCCTCCATGGAGCCCATTCATTTCACTGTGCACCAGAGCAGAGTGATGGTGTCTCAGTGTTTGGGCACATGCTGTTGGGCTTGGGAGACAAACGTTCGGGTGAAGCTCTGTTTGTATGACAGGGCAATGAATTAAAGCCGCAAGCGGCATCTAAAGGCCCTCGCCACATCTCCCAAAGGAGGTGGCGCTAACGGAAGATGGAAGAAACACTGATAGTGTACAGAGTGTAATGCATATGATCAGTGCGTGTGTGCCTCCATACCATGGGAACTTTCACGTGGGTCTGTCACGTGCACACTGTTCAACTGAACAGCTAACTTTAGATCTTGCACCTGTTCAGATGGGGTTGTTAACAATTCAAGGTGTATATTTGAGATATTTTTGGATTTCCCACACACAATGGCGAGTGTTTGTCGTCCAAAGGCAACAGGGTGAAAAATATTTTTTCAAAGCGAAATTTGAAAAAATAAATACAAATCTCTCCATGCAAAACAATGGTTTCCTCTGTAGGGGGCACAATAGCAGCAATTCAATGTTTTTCACATTCAGTATTAATATCATAAAGGATTTTCTCCCAAAAATCAAGAAAAAACATTATAGGTTAGGAACGAGCACTAAGACTGCGTGAAGGTCTGAAGAGGATCCTCTGCAGCCCATGAATCTAAATTTAGAAGGATGACTAACTACACATTCATCAATTAACTTAGAAGCATGCTAACCACAGTAACTGAATTAACTTTGCCACAAATAATTAATTTAGATCTAGCATACTATCTCCATTTTTAAAAGGTAAAAAAATGAAAGTACCAACATATATATGATATACTAATATATTTGGTAACAGTAAAGAGTAAAAATAAAACTTTTTGTCTGTAAAATAAATACTCTAGTCAAGTACGATTAGAAGAGTAAAAATGTGTTTCCTTACAGTGGGGTGCGGATTGGAGCAGAACACCGTGTACTTCCTGATGATGCCGTTCACTTTGAGCGGTGGGAGCCAGGACACGAACACCACAGAATTGGATGCAGCCGCTGCCTTCACACCCGCTGGAGGGCCTGGGACTGTGGGACCAAAACCAGCGTTGAAATAACAGCTGAGAAATGATTGTCTCCTTAAAGTAGAGGAGATTCATTCATGGTGCACTTACAGCTTATACATTGTACTCACTCACCATTTTAAATCCATTATAATGAAATAAAGAGCCTTCCTTCAGGCTTTGCAATAATCTGAGCTTTTCACGATCACATTCAGCGCTGTGTTAGAGAGACAGTGAGGTGTTCGTACCGTCCTCTTTGGTGCGGGTGAAGAGCTGCTCACTGCGGACCCCGTCTCCTGCTCGGGTGAAGGCCAGCACCTGGATGCTGTAGTTGGTGTATTTCTCCAGGCCGTCCAGCTCCAGGGAGGGTTTGGAGGTGGTCACGTTGCGGATCTCCCCCAGCTCTGAGCAGACCAGAACGAGAATGTTTATAGTCAATGGCAGAAACTACTTGAAGTCAAAGAGTTTTCTTGATTTTAGCTGATAAAAATACTTCAGATGTATGTATTTAGATGTATGTATTTAGCTTTAAATACATACAAATACTAGAAATAAGTACACGTTTTACTCAAGGAATATCCAATTGAAGATAATATGATACTTATTTTTCTTTAACTCTAGTTCAGTTTGGAGCATTGTGAGCCCTAAATTTGAATTGACATAATTTACGTGAATAAAAATGAATTTAGCAATGACGAACTTGTTACCTTTCAGCCTATTGTCAGTATTATTATTATTACTATCTGCAAACAACTGAATAAACAGTAAATCTTATACATTTCATTTTTTGTATATCTTTCATTGCAGAGGAATGTGTGATCTGTTAACAACTGTACCAGCTCTACCCAGCAGTATATTCTTTAAAGAGAAACATTTATGATATAATGGGTTCCTAGTTGGTGGGTATTGCGCCCATGTGTTCATTTGCGCAGCAGCAGACTGTTACTAAGCAAATGAGTCGTGGTTGTCATATCCTTGGTCTTTACGCTCAAAAAGGCAAAACGACATGAAGTGACAGAGCGTGGGTCAGAGGTAATGCTGCTGTCAAAACCAATCCCAATGACACAAAGCCTGCACAAGGCTTTGTCGGTGTTTCCTCATATTCTACAGTCCTATGTGCGGTGGTGTGACCGTACCTCCGTCAGGCAGATTGGCCCAGTAGATGACCCTGAAGCCCAGCAGGTTCCCGTTCAGAGCGTCTTTAGGAGGGGTCAGCCAGGACAGAGAGATGACCTCTGGAGTGGTGGCGATGGCCTGGACGTTCTCCGGAGGACGGCTAGGGACTGGTGGACATAAGGCAAGATATCAGAAAATCATGTGTGGGGATTGTTGAAAGATGCAGTGTACTTTTAGCTCCACTAGGAGGCAGTATAAGCTAAAAAAAACCTTTGTTGATTGATCTGCTTGCTTTTATTCAACTGCACTAAAAGGCTATAATCAGATGTGTATTGATGCTATTATCTTTATTCATATATAAATAAAATTATTAATTCACAATGACAATTAGACAACAAAACTACAACATTTTGTTTATGTTTGATGTATCAATATGCAACTTTCTGGAAATTTAAAATCATTTTACATTAGAATCACACTGTGGAAATAGATACATTTTCTGTCATGTCATACAAACAACCAGTAAGAGGCCCATGGTCACATCAATTATGAACCAGATTTGTGGAGATAAGTTATGTTTTTTCAGAATAATATAAATGTGGACTCTTGACTTGAGTATTGGGTGAATAAAAAATGTATCCCTCACCGTCCTCCAGAGTGGTGGATGCCACCTCAGTGGATGAGGGGCCAGTTCCTGCACTGTTGCTGGCCTGGACCACCACTCCATACTGGGTAAACTTCTTCAGATTGTCCAGCACCAGGCTCTCTGCGTTGTCCCCGGTGGTCTCCACACTGATCACACTGAACTGGTAGTTCCCTCCAGAGCTGTACTCCCTGTAGCCCACCTGGTATCCTTTGATGGCTCCATTCTGCAAGTGCTTCTTTGGAGGCTGACGAAGCAAACACCAGGGGAATTTAATGAACAACTTCTGAACATGTTTTACAGTGTGCTAAAGCTAGTGAAGCTAGAGAAAATTAAAGCTTAGGCAAAACCGGACATGAGTCAAAGTAATGTATTACAGCAACTTTGATAATTGTGTTTCCCATAGTGCACTCAGTGATGTGACATCAGGCTGCTGCCCTGCATGCTGCAATCAGCCTCATGCTGGGACTGTGTGTTCAAGTCGGTGTATCTGCTGTCAACAGAAATTAAGTTTGCAATTATGTAACACACATTTCTTATGTGATGGCTTTTTATTTACAGCTTTGTAGAGTTTTTCACACACAGGTAGTGTGTTCTTGTTTTTTAGTTTTATTTTGTCGCCAGGAATAAAGACAAATGTGATATTTGAAGAAGCTTACCCTCCATGACACTCTGATGCTTTGAGAGGACTGGGCTTCAAGTTGAACCTCTTGAGGTGGACCGTCCGGGGCTAAATACAAAAAGAATAGTTACCCAGATGTACATGTCCACAAACCTACAAAACCAGTTCTCTGTTCGGGGGTCCCGGGACAGCACAGAGGGACAGGGAGACACAGGGATGAGGGGCTAATTTGCAGAGGGCGTCCGGCTTCTGTCTATTGACCACAGTGTGACATTTACTACTGACGATACTAATTGAAAAGTTGTGCTTTTAGTGCAGGGTCAGCGTGTGTTCAATAATGCAGGAGAGCCGATGGAGCTGATGTCACTGCAGCCTTAATGAATTGACTCAGTCAGCCTTTTAGGTCCTTTTAGAGCACATGTCCCTCTCGTGTCCGCTTACTGTCTTACTTACACTGTAACTAATTACCACTGGGGTTTACCAATAGTACGCTGCAGCCTTTATAATTAATGAATATGTATACAGCTGTGAGTCTGGAGCAGGAATTCTCAACATGCCTAGTGGAATTTCATACTTTGAGGTCATGAACCCTGTATCTTTTTAGCAACTCTTCTGCACCTACTACTCTACTGGTGGATCACTCCAACTTAAACATAAAAAGGTAGTGAGTGGTGGGAGTAAACAAACAACGCACATCTGGACAAAGGCTTCAAACCCATGTGTTACCCACAGTGTAGATTTTTAATCAATCAATGAACATCTTTTCCTTGTCATATCAGTAATATATCCCTAACACAGATATGAACTTCTCGTGGCAAACGCAGCCCATTGCTCTCACCTGCTTCGTCAGTGGTGATGGTGAGCTCGTTGCTAGCCTCGCTCTTGCCGATGAGGTTTTTTGCGAACATGCGGATGTTGTAGGTGGAGGAGGGGTGCAGGTCGATGATGGTGGCCTGGTTGAGCTGAGGCGACACATCTTTGGTCTTCTGAGCCGTATCCCAGGAGGCTGTAGGAGGGAGAGGCCATAGTTTATTGGGGTTACTACAGTCAGTATGGAGGTCACATCCTGTTAAGTGCATTAGGCCTGGATTTATGAAACGCTAGGGTTTGACACAAAGTGAGCTCAAGGGGAAGGATTGGAGATAACTGGAGATGGACTTGTTCTTTACCTGATTTGTTCTTGCTCTCGATATCAAAACCAGTAATGGGACTGTTGCCGTCAAAGCCCATAGTCCAGCGGAGAGCGATGGTTCTGTCCTTTACTTCTCTGATCTCCACCTCAGGAGGGTCGGGCGGTTCTGCAATGTTTAAAGTCCAGGAATTGACCAAGATCGTGCCTTCTTCTACTAGTTTGATAAATAGTCAAATAATTGACTAATAATTGACACAGTATGTAGGCATTGAGACCCATGTTTTGGAACAATGTTGAATTGACCAAGCGAGAAAGGTCGACGGGCTGTTAGGACCTGTGTCAGCTTTTTGCCACGAGAACAGAGGGACGTGTCAAAACAAAAGGGTGGAAACTTCAAAATAATTCTTATAGCGTCAGAGCACAGTGTAGGAAAACCGTGGTATCGTATTATTACTATTATTATTAATGGTCTACAGTAAGTCTATGATCCATGTGGAGCTATGAATATATTTTCAAACATACATAGCAGTGCATGCAAAAGCCCAAACTTTGATGGTAAGAGCTTAAGAGTTATACTTTTATAATATACTATTGTCGCTTTATATGACTTGTGTGTATTTTTATAATCTGACCAACAAAAGGCTATAAAACCATTTTTTTCATTAGTCTAAATTATTGTTAAATTTGGTTGGAGAGTTGGGTTAAATATGTGCTCTGTCTCTACAGTATGCAAACACACAGAGGAGAGATTTCAGCGTTTACTGCATAACTAATAGCTGCATTATATTTATGCATTTTCATACACAATACAAAACTAATGAGAGAAACATAAAGACCTGTCCTATCGCTACTTTAAATGTGAGTGGAATGTTGCGATCCATACCTTGCACTGTGAGCTGTATAATTCCTCTGTCTTCCCCAAACGAGTTGATAGCGTGGCAGGAGAAGAAGCCGGAGTCCTCTCTTACAGTGGGCATGATCTAAAAACACAGACGATAGAAACATAACTATAGTTGTGCATGAAATTATACTATTGGGTTATACATGAAATATAACCCAAATGTTGAGATTATGAATGATAACACAACAACCCCATTCATTGTTTGGGGTTGTGCGAAGCCATATATTGTCAAATAAAATATATTTCTGTCCCTTAAATTTAAGTCAACTCATTTATGCCTTTTTCAAACCTTAGCACCACAACTGCCCGGAGCTCAGGTTGTGTCCGTACCTGCAGCGTGGAGATGACCTCGTCGCCGGCCTCTTTGACGGACACCACGTAGCGGCTGGTCTCCGGGTTGATGATGCGTTCCTCCTTCTCCCAGCGCACCATGATGGGCTTCTCCCCGTGGGCCGTGCAGCTCATCTTCTTCTCCTCGCCCTGAGTGGCCAAAGTGGTGTTGGGGTACGACGTGATCATGGCGGGGACTGCAAAAGGACACAGCGCTGTTACTACTACATCATCTATGGACATTTACCAACATTTATGGACATCTGCCCCTTATGGACCAATGTGTTTTTAATCAATGCATTTCTTTTGTCTGAACTGTTTGATTCTCTGATCTGTGTTGCCAAATTTTATGTTTTTGTAAAGTCCTCCAAAATACCTCTTGTAAATACCTATACAAGAATACTTCGAATTGAATTAAAGTGTGTTATCTTGTATATGAGAGAAGATAACAATTATTTGAATTATTTGAGCAGTTATGAATCAAAGTTTGCCTATGGAAGCAGCGAGTTATGTCTTCATTAAAGAGCAGAAGCAGTTTCTCTCAATTTAAGTGAAAATATTTTTATTAGTTTATTAATTTTATTTTTAGTTGGGTCTATAATAGAAAGTACACACTCATATCAAGATTCTTACATAAAGTACTTTTTCCCTCTTTGTTTGGCTAAAATATCTTGATGATCACGCCAAAAGAAACAACCACTTTGTGAACTATAGCTTGAAAATATTGATTTTATATTGACTCTGATACAGCTGTGGACAAACACAAGACAACTACATTTTTTCAGATTTCAGTATCTCATTAATACCTCAATCAAACACACTTTAATCGATAACCTAACTGTAATATCTGTTTCATATCTCTGTTATGCTGCAAATCCAGTCAAATTACCACAACTTTATAGAATTATTTATCCCTCTCTTTATAACATTATTTATCTCTCCAGCATTTTTCAATATTTAGTGCTCAGTTTACGTTGCTGAATTGCTGTTTTAGCCACAATCTAATAAATTGTTTCTTCATGATTTAAAACATTATATAAAATTCAATTAGGACGCATCTAAAGCTCTATACTTCCCAGTCTGTATTTTATGTACTGCTATAACAGCTTCAACCACATGCAATGAAAGCAACCTGCCACCTGGATATTTATCTAGCCTCTCAAAGTCCCTATACGTATCCGCTAACTACCTTCCTCACAAGACGGGGCTCTAAATGCACGCTAACGACGTGCATGGCTCATTACACCGACATCCGACTGCAGCACTCCCCCTGCTCCCTATGTTTGAACCGCACTGATGTGATGAGAAGTGTCAGACAAGAGGTCGCAAACATTTACGCCTCATCTCTTATTCACTCTTGAGCCATTTGGGGCTCGGCTGAGGGAAAAAAAGTGGATTTATTTTGCATGACATGTATTTTTGGTGAGAAAACGGGAGCTACGGGAGGAAAACACAGCCCGGGTTTAAGTAAACGTTAGCGTTTTAGGGCGACTTTCATTGCAGGCGTGTAAAGGGGCTGCTCAGTATGATACACGCTGATGTTGTTGACACCCAAGGCACAGTGGCGCGCAGAGAAAGGTGACAGAAAAGGCACTGGGAAGGGTGTAGGGGGGGAGGTGGGGAGGTGGATGTATGCCTGCTGCTGCTGCTGCTGCTGCTGCTGCTGCTGGAGTGCACATCAAAGCACAAAGACAAGTGACACCGGGAAAATACAGATGTAATGTTCGGCAACTGACAGATTTAACTCTATTTAAGTTTTGGAATAAATACAAGAACGCATGGGTACTGATTCGCAAAACAGGTCTTTAGTCAGCCAAGATTTCCCTTTAGTCGACAGCAGCTGACTTTTTTTTACAAAGAGGAACACAAAATCAGGAACATCTTTTGGAAAATGTGAGATAAGACTCTACTTTTGTTTCTACTTGTTTGTATTTAAGATGTTCATGTTTTGAAGAAAATACAGAAAATCAAGAATAAACATATACAAATATACAATAGGAGGAGCAGTGTGGTTTTCGTCCCGGTCGCGGAACACTGGACCAGCTCTATACTCTCCATCGGATACTCGAGGGTTCATGGGAGTTCGCCCAACCTGTCCACATGTGCTTTGTGGATTTGGAGAAGGCGTTCGACTGTGTTCCCCGGGGTGTCCTTTGGGGGGTTCTCCGGGAGTACGGGGTCGGGGGTCCTCTGCTGAGGGCCATCCGGTCCCTGTATGACCGGAGCCAGAGCTGTGTTCGCATTGCCGGCAGTAAGTCAGACCTGTTCCCGGTGAATGTTGGCCTCCGACAGGGCTGCCCTTTGTCACCGGTTCTGTTCACTGTATTTATGGACAGAATATCTAGGCGCAGCCAGGGGTCGGAGGGGGTCCGGTTCGGGGACCACAGGATTTCATCTCTGCTGTTTGCGGACGATGTTGTCCTGTTGGCTCCAACGAACCAGGACCTGCAGCATGCACTGGGACGGTTTGCAGCCGAGTGTGAAGCGGCTGGGATGAGAATCAGCACCTCCAAATCTGAGGCCATGGTGCTTGACCGGAAAAAGGTGCCCTGCCCTCTTCAGGTGGGTGGAGAGGTCCTTCCTCAAGTGGAGGAGTTCAAGTATCTCGGGGTCTTGTTCACGAGTGAGGGAAGAATGGAGCGTGAGATTGACAGGCGGATCGGTGCAGCGTGCGCAGTTATGCGGTCGCTGTATCGGACTGTTGTGGTAAAGAAGGAGCTGAGCCGAAAGGCAAAGCTCTCGATTTACCGGTCAATCTTCGTTCCCTCCCTCACCTATGGTCATGAGCTTTGGGTAATGACCGAAAGAACGAGATCGCGGATACAAGCGGTCGAAATGAGCTTCCTCCGCAGAGTGGCTGGGCGCTCCCTTAGAGATAGGGTGAGGAGCTCAGTCACACGGGAGGAGCTCGGAGTAGAGCCGCTGCTTCTCCACGTCGAGAGGAACCAGTTGAGGTGGCTCGGGCATCTGTTCCGGATGCCTCCTGGACGCCTCCCTGGGGAGGTGTTCCGGGCACGTCCCACCGGGAGGAGGCCCCGCGGAAGACCTAGGACACGCTGGAGGGACTATGTCTCTCAGCTGGCCTGGGAACGCCTTGGGGTCCCCCCGGACGAGCTGGAGGAAGTGTGTGTGGATAGGAAAGTCTGGGCGTCTCTGCTTAGACTGCTGCCCCCGCGACCCGGCAACGGATAAAGCGGAAGAAAATGGATGGATGGATGGAAATATACAAGTTGACGTAAGTAAAATGGTAGTAAGTAATCTGGCCATGGTTATAGCACGTAGCAAGTTCATAAAATATTATGTTATTAATACTTTTCGCTTTTACCTTCTCAGGCAGAGAAGGTAACGCTCATTTACTACAATAGGAAATCCCAGTGTTGAATGACCCATTACTTTCACTAGTACGAGTGACAGGGACATGAGCTTTTATCTATCACAGGTGAGAGAAGAAGCTAAACAGTGCTGTCTACTCTTGCTTAGCTTTTTACGAAAGAGAGATTGCATTCCTTATAAATATTCCGGTCACAAGCCTCCTTCATGGGCTGCTGGTTTCGGGGTACGTGATGTCAACAGAAGACTGTACTATTGAATTGGATGTTTTCTGAAGACATTGAGACAACTGGGATACAGGACAATCGAGTTTAAAGGCTGGACACAGAAAGGCTTTGTAAATATAGAGAAGGGTGTGTATACTATCCACATACATTTATACATTTGTACAAATGTTACTTGTACTAACAATAAGTAGAATCCTTGGCAACATTTCAAATCACACATACAGTATCATCTGTCGGTGGGTGGTTCTGTCTGGGCCCATTGTCTCCACCATGCATGTGTGTCTGCATGTTTTAAGTGCCTGCATGTACTAGCAGCTGAGCCAGCCCTGGGGTCCTCTGTGGCTCTGTAATTGTTGTATTGATGTATTTCTTTAATATCCCGCAGAATCATGGAAAGCAGAGCACAAGCGCTGGCTCGGTGAAGGTAAAATGAAACATAGTGGAGGACGAGGGAGAGACGAGGGAGAGATGAGGGGGAGAAGCGCTCATTAGAGAGCTGCTCCCCTGGTATCTAATTCAGCCATTTCAACAACAGTGACGCTCCCAGCAGCAAACACAGCTGAACCCCAGACCAGCTCCGATTACACCTCACATTAGTCACCATAAGTCCCAAACAACAATCTGCACACAACATTGATCTGTGGTGTTGGCATTACACTCTTATTTCATTATGTATAAACAATGAGAGGATGATGTTTCAAAGCATATGTTGACATATTTCTACTGAATTGTATCATTGCATTTGGTTTTAACTGCTATGAACGTTGAATAATGGATAGTAGTGTTGCTTATGAGGATAATAACAATGTGAGATAAATAGTATTATATGTATATGTATGTATGACACACCACGTACTGTATATATAAGATCATACTTCACTATAACAGTAAATTCTGACTCCTTTTGTTTCATGGTTGACTAGAAAACAATAACTTACTATCTAGATTCACAAGGCTCTGGGGGGGTTAGACATACTTAAAAGACTAAAGTTTTCTATTTTCTGCTGTTACAAAACTTTCTTATTTTCTTAACCGGCACAGACGTCCACACCACAGCTCTGTTTTACCAAAGTCAAGTTTACAGTTACTGTAATTAGAGCATGAGTACACAGATGTTGCACAGTCTCTTATGTTTGAGGAGAGCCATGTTCCTCCACAGCAACCCAGAGGGCAGTGATGATACGCCTAAAGCCCGTGGGGATTGTAGGGGATCGGCTGGCTGCTGATAGGCTGCTCCTGTGAGACAAAAGCCCCGCGGCCCCTCCTTCCTCTCCCAGGCTCCCTTTCACCTGGCCAGGTTACCATGCCAACCAGCATCGGACACTCATCTCTTCTCCCTCTCTCGTCTTTACTCTTAAAAATACACCATTTCTAGTAGCCAGGAATAGAACATGGTCCTGCCATTGATTTCCAGTGGAGTATGATGATTACACAATCACGTCCTGAATGTCGCAATGCAGGGCCAAATAAAAAGATACTATTGAGAAAGGTTTTCAATGTCTCTATATCCTGGACGGCCACTGATGCGCAAAGCACACTGAATAGGTGATTACAGAGTGGTTATATTAGAGAATGGTTCCTGGGTCTATTCAAAAGACAGGAGCTCTTTTCATATTAGGCTTTTGTACAGGTGAGACATT